CCTGGCGAGAGCGCGGCCCCCCCTCTGCCTGGCTTGGCGCGGGGATGCGGAGAAGCCGCTGAGCCGACGGCGGAGGAGGAGGACGGCTCGCTCGCTCGCTGGCTGGCTGGCTGGAGGGAGGGAGGGGAAAAAACAGCCCGAGAGAGGACTGCCAGGCGCTGGCTCGAAGCCCCCTTGGAGCGCCCTTCGCGTGAGACGCTCGTCCCCTCTGGTCCGGCACTGAATACGACAGCTCGGGTGGCCTCTAGTGTCGCCAGCCCCCAGGTGGGGCCTAGGGATCTCCCGGAATTGCAATCGATCTCCGGACTACACGGATCAGTTTCCCCGGAGAAAACGGTAGCTTTGTAAAGGTAGACTCTGTGGCATCATGCCCCGCGAAGGTCGTTCCCCAAACCCCACCAGTCCCCAGATATCCTGGGATTTCCCAACACAGACCTGGCAACCCTAACAAGGCCTGGTGCTTGCGTCCAGAAGTGCCTTGGCGCCTCCTCAGAGTAGCCCTATTAAGAGCTTAGCGGGCTCGCACGTCCCTCTTTCCAGTGTGCCCCACTTCACCCTCGGCCTTCCAGGGAGGCGGTTGCTACAAACGGGCCCTGTAGTTGGGGAAAACAGCAGCGAGGGGTGGACGCCATAGATTTGAAAGATGCCTGCCAATCAACCAGCATAGGTTGCACTACACATTAGCAGTTGGGTGGCCTACCTGTGTTGATTCAGAAATACACCTCACTGAGAGGTTTCATATATTGAATAACTCACACCTAGGGTTGACAACACTGAGCTGGAAAATTCCTGGCAATTTGGGGGTGGAGTTTGGAGACCTCAGCCGAGTATAATGCCAGAGTGTCCACCCTCTGAAGCAGTCATGTTCTCCAAGAGAACTGATCTCTGTTCTCTGGAGATCGGTTGTAATTCCAGGAGATCGCTAGGCTCCATCTGGAGGTTGGCATCCGTTTCACCAGTAGGGTTCCTTTAAAGGTAAAGGTTCCCTTGCTCGAAAGCCAGTCGAGTCCGACTCTAGGGTTGCGGTGCTCATCTCCGTTTCCAAGCCGAAGAGCCAGCCCTGTCCGAAGACATTTCCGTGGTCATGTGGCTGGCATGACTAGATGTGAGGTGCACGGAACGCTGTTACCTTCCCACCGAAGCGGTACCTATTTATCTACTTGCAATTTCTTGCTTTCGAACTGCTGGGTTGGCAGGAGCTGGAACTAGAGATGGGAGCTCACTCTGTCATGCGGCAACTTGGGTCTCGAACTGCTGAACTACCGACCTTCCACAGCCTGCAGTTCAGCGTCTTAACCACCTGAGCCACCGCAGCTCCCCAATTTTACAATTACTCTAGTATTAATTTTCTAATAGATGTGAGACAAAAACTTTGTTTTGGACCTAAGAGATTTGACCACTAATGAACTTCCACGCAATTTACAGGAAATATCTAAAATCAGTAATTTCTAATGGTTTTGTATCTTGGGACAGTTTTCTAACACACAAATATATCTCTGCAGTGAGTCCAGTAGCACCTTAAAGACTAACAAAATTGGTGGCAGGAGATGCGCTTTCATGAGTCACTACTGCAGTATCTGAAGAAGTGAGCAGTGTCACTTCAGATACAGTTGCAGTGACTCACGAAAGCTCATCTCCTGCCACCGATTTTGTTAGTCTTTAAGGCGCTACTGGACTCTTTTTTCAACTGCTGCAGGCAGACTGACACAGCTACCCATCTTGATCTATCTCTGTAGTGAGGTCATCCAGAGAGAAGCTGTCTGGATACACAGGTTAAAAACTTACAATCCTTACAATTTTAATCAGTCACTGGAACTGCTTTGCTTTTTGTAAATGTATTCTATAGCTTTAATTCTTGCAAAAACGAATTAATATTGCTTATGAAAACAGATGCTTAACCTATACCTTTGAAGCTATACCAACCCTGTAAGATCTCAGTTTAGACTGTCTGTTTGAAAATGATTAGTGGCCCGACATTGAAACTTTTTCTTCTACTATTTTGGTAATTTGCCTAATCTTATTTTATTACTGTATTCTTATATCATGTATAAATTGGAATAGCATCTGACATGTATTGATTTCCAAATAGAACCTGATTGGCAATTACAAAATAATATTGGGGATTTGAAAGAATACAGCTATAGTAGGTATTTTTGTCTTAGAAAAAATGTAGTCATTTTGATATATATTATTATGGTTGTATATTACACTTGCTCATTGGACTCTATTATTAGCCTTATGTGAGTTGAAAATAGTCCATCTCTGACGAAGATACTCTCAAACGAAGTATTTATCTGGAATCTTTGTAGGACGGTTTCTGTGATTCTTCAATATTGTGCATTGGACTTTTAATGTATATTTTGTAATATGTATTACAATACGAATACATTTTGCTATATTATTACACAAATAAAATTCTACACACATTTGTATAAAATTGTTTCTTTAGTAGGCGTCTTACATTGCACAGCTCTGTTCACTTCTATTGTCTTGGCTTATAGACTCTGTTTCTTCTTTTTACCCTGAATCAGACCTTTTGATTCACCAAGATCAGAATTGCCTACTCAGATTGGCAGCACTTGTCTAGGGTCTTAGGCAAACGTCTTTCACATTACCTATCATTACCTGAATCATTTTAAACTGTAGAGGCCAGGAATTGAACCTGGGGCCTTTTGCATGCCAAGCAGATGCTGTACCACTAAGCCACAGCCCTTCCTTTTATAACCTTCTCTCCCCCTCCCCCAAGTATCGGGGAGCAAATTCACTCTATTAAAGGAGCAGGACATTTTTTCTAAAGGTTGTCATCAACCTTAGCCCTTGGTCCTCAGCAAGGCTTAATGCATTCTTCAAGGAACGTGCTTGGTGGTGCAGCCTCAGTGTCCTCTGGTCCTTTCCCAATCACTCTGCCGAAGCTCTCCAGGAGTGGCCAGTGTTTTCTGCAAAACAAGCCTGTCCCAGAGCCCTCCTCCTCCTCCCTGGTAGGGAGTGACTTCCCACCAGGCTGTAACTGCTGATCAGCACATACCATGTCAGCTGCTTATGTAAGGATCACAAGGAAAGTCAGCCAAGCTGGAAATGCTTCCAGCACTCCCGAGTTTCAAAGTTGTTTGCTTGGCTGAGACGGCTGACATGTAGGGCCCTGCACAGAACACAGGAAGGCAAACTTACTAAATTGCTCACAACCATAGACAGTTTCAAGAGGGGATTAGATAAACATATGGAGCAGAGGTCCATCAGTGGCTATTAGCCACAAGGTATAGATGGAATACTATGCCTGCAGCAGTGATGCTCTGTGTTCTTGGTGCTTGGGGGGCAACAGTGGGAGGGCTTGTGGAGTTCTGGCTCTGCTGGCGGACCTCCTGATGTTACCTGGGTTTTGGCCACTGTGTGACACACGAGTGTTGGACTGGATGGGCTGTTGGCCTGATCCAACATGGCTTCTGTTATTGTTCTTATGCTCTTTTCAGACCAGCACGCCACCAGCTCCTTTCCTATCCTTAACCTACACCGTCTGCATTATCATGAAATGTCTGCTCATGCCCTGACCTGAGTAGCCCAGGCAAGCCCAATCTCGTCAGATCTCGGAATCTAAGCAGGGCTGACCCTGGCAAGTACGTGGATGAGAGACCTCCAGGGAATACCAGCGACGAGATAAAAGGGTTGGAACACTTTCCCTATGAGGAAAGGTTAAGGCGCTTAGGGCTCTTTAGCTTGGAGAAACGACGACTGAGGGGTGACATGATTGAGGTTTATAAGATTATGCATGGGAAAGAGCAGGTAGAGAAAGAGGTACTTTTCTCCCTTTCTCACAATACAAGAACTCGTGGGCACTCCATGAAATTGCTAAGCGGTCGGGTTAGAACGGATAAAAGGAAGTACTTCTTCACCCAAAGAGTGATTAACACATGGAATTCACTGCCACAGGAAGTGGTGGCGGCTACAAGCATGGACGGCTTCAAAAGGGAATTAGATAACCATATGGAGCAGAGGTCCATCAGTGGTATTAGCCACAAGGTATAGATAGGGACTTTGGGGCAAGTGATGCTCTGTCTTCTTGGTGCTTGGGGGGGTCAACAGTGGGAGGGCTTCTAGTGTGCTGGCCCCACTGGTGGACCTCCTGATGGCACTGGTATTTCTGGCCACTGTGTGATACAGAGTGTTGGACTGGATGGGCCTTTGGCCTGATCCAACATTGGCATCTCTTATGTTCTTATGTTCTTACGAGACGCAGATGCCGGCAATAGCAAGCCACCTCTCTGAAATGTCCAGGCCCCACTAGAGGTTGCCAGAAGTCAACCATGACTTCCAGGCGTGCACACACGCACACACACACACTGAAATGTCTGCTCAAGAAAGCC